GGTGTCAGTTCTGACTCCTCCGGCCCTTAATTGGCACTGCCCGGTGCTGGGAAGTGTGCAGGGACCAATTCACACGGCCATGAGAGATGCTAACGTGCCGACCAGCCCTGCCAGAGCCCGCACCACCCTGCACGGCAGCTCTGCCAGGCCGGCTGCACCGTGGGGTGCAGCAGGGACTTGACCTTCCAGTGCCGGGACCCTGAGCAGCCAGCCCCGACACCCAGCAGTGTCCCCACACCTCCCCTGCCCTCTGCACAGCTCCCAGCCCCAGGCCGGGGGTCCTGACTGTGCTCCCAGCTCCAACCACCCGCCTGGAGGGGCAGGGGGATGCGGGGATGTGGCAGCCAGGCTGGTGCACTGGTGGTGCAGCCAGGGTGCTCCCTGCCCAGGTGATGTCCCTTCACCCGGCCATGCTGCCTCGGTCTCCCCAACCCTGTGGGATGCGGCCCCGGCTCTCTGAGCTCCTGGCATGCTCTGGAGAAGCTGGAAGCACAGCCTGTGTGTTTGTGGGGACCCATTGGGCTGTGCCCACCTGCACGGAGCTGAGGCTCCCTGCGCTGCTTGCCCAGCTGGTGCAAACCCCAGGCCAGGGGTCGGGGTCCCGGAGGCAGTGGGCAGCACCGTACTGGGGTGCTGAGCCCTTTAGGAGGCTCCAGGGCAGGGGACCCTGTCTGTGCACATGGGCTGGGGGAAGCAGGAGCAGGGGGAGGCAGCTGCTCGCCCAGCTCAGAGTGGGCACTGCTCCTGGGTGCACAGGGCCGTTTGCCGGGATGCTTTTGTGGCGCTCTCCCCTGGGCTGGGCACAGCCTCCGGGCACCGTCCCCGTCCCAGCTGGGGGTACAAGAGTGCACAGCCAGGGCCGGGAGCCATGCAGGCGTCTTGCCCCCCAGAGGGGCCGGAGCAGGGACAGTGGGTCCGAGGTGGGCGGCAAGGGGTCCTGGGGAGGGCCCCCAGCAGTCCCCATCGGGACCCCCGCAGCGGGAGGGCTGGCTGCTCCTCGGGGCATGGGTCCGAGCCAGGCACCCACTGCCTGGGGAGGGCTTTGGCCAGTGTTGGCCAGTGGCACCGTCAGGAGGCCCTGCAGCGCTCTCAGTGCCCTTGGCCACATCCACCCCATGGCCCCGTGCCCACCCTCCATCAATGTGGACAGGAGGGATGTGGGGCGACTCCATCTCCCCCGAGGAGTGAGGGGCTGCGGGTTCTCCCCTGGGGGGGCTCTGACCCCATGGCCAGTGCTGTCACAGCCCAGCCGCGCTCCAGCACTTGTCTAAACAGAGAGAGAGGTGGGAAGCGGCAGCTCAGCGGGGCCGCAGAACTCATTACCCGGGAGCTCATCAGCTAATGAGACCCAGGAGGGGGCCTGGGAATGGGGGGGAGCGGGGCCAGGGCAGCACCGAGGGGCACGTGGGGAAGGGGCCGTGCCCCAGGCTGCGCCGTCGGGTGCAGAGCACCCTGCAGAGCACCCTGCCACGCTCCCGGGGCCAGGCCGCCGCCGGACCCCCGCTGCAGCCCCCAGCCCCGGAGACAGGCTCTGGGATGGCGTCAGACGACTGCGCACCCAGAGAGGCGCTGCAGGTCCGGGTTGGCACCGGCACCCTCGGACCTTGGAGCGCTTGGGCAGAGGTGAGCGATAAGCAGGATTTCTCACGTCACCTCAGTGTCACGGCATTGCCAAGGAAAACTGAACAAACTTCATGTGACTGCTGGGAAACACGAGCCCGTGAGCAACGAGGTGCTGGCTCACCCATCGTGTCGCCAGCACTTCGCTGGGGAAGGGCTGGCCCTGCACCCCGCTGCTGGCGCTGTGCCCCGTGCCCGGCTCCATGCCCCGCAGCTGGCCCCGTGCCCAGCGCCATGCCCCACAGCTGGCCCTGGGCCCCACGGCTGGCCCCATGCCTGGCTCCGTGCCCCACAGCTAGCCCTGGCCCAGCTCAATGCCCCACAGCTGGCCCTGGGCCCCACGGCTGGCCCCGTGCCTGGCTCCGTGCCCCACAGCTGGCCCCGTGCCCAGCCCTGTGCCCCGCAGCTGTCCCCGTGTCCAGCACCATGCCCCACAGCTGGCCCTGTGCCCCCTGCCCAGCTCTGTGGCTGATACCCGATATTGGGGGAGCCCGTGCACACCCAGTATGGGGCTCCTGTGCCCACTGCTGTACCCCCAGGGCTGTGCACACTCGGTACGGGGGTCCCGCGCCCCCCGCCGCGCCCCCGGGGCTGTGCACACCCGGTGTGGGGGTCCCGCGCC